CAGCAGACAGACACTAGCTTGTGAACATAGAGAAGCATTAAGCAGCTAAATGGCCAGATATTTCCCTCAGGAATTGGTGGAGAACAAAATGAAGCTCCAGCTGAGACTATTGGTGGGGCAAAGGATCGATACAGCAATATCTTTATCCGGACTTGTGTGATACCCTTATTACATGGTTTAATATTTAAAAACATGGCTCTGAACAGATTTTCCTGCCAGTTGGACTCACAGCATTAGTACGTCAAGAACAAAGAAGAAGCTGACAGCGGTATAGAAGAAGAAGAAGACCTTGGATAACGCTGGACAGCAGTGAAAAGAAGTTGAAGGATAATCCATGATAAGAGGTGAAACCAACACCAAATAACAGCCTATAAAGGATATGTCCAAATCACATTCATAGTAATAGTCAGTTTTGCTTTCAGTGGACAACAGGTGTTTCTTCTCTGACAAGTCAGACACCCAAAAATCTGGACAAAGATCCACCCCAAACCACAAGATCCAAATATCCCCTCTCGACCTAAGAACTGAGGTCAACACTCTTTTCAACTCGGAAACATCCAATTACTTCTTTCCTCCTTTGACTTGACTTGCACTACCGGTTGTCCTCACAGCGCAGAGCTGCAGAGCTAGGGTCGACCTGTCTGTCCCAGTTAACTAGAATGGCATGTGGGCTGTGCAACAGGGCCATGTGAGTGAGGGCTGGGCGCTCTCCCTCGCCGACCGTTCCTCCCGGCGGTGCTATCTTTTCAAGTTTTGCCTCTTCCTGTGACTCTTTAGCGGCTTGTCAGTCGGATGAAAGGTATTTCCTCTGAGTCACCGCTCTGTTCCCTTTTGTCAACTGAGAACCACGCAGGCTTTAAAGACCTCCGGAACACAATGCTGTTGTTTGCTCCCCCCGCGGCCAGCCAGCCTCTAAACAGGCCTTTTACTATAATTGGACTTTTTCAGATGAAATGCACTTTGCTCTGCTTTATGCTTACAGTATGTGTTGGCCTAGTTTGATGACATCTTCTCCAGAGGGTCCCAAGTTTCCTTGATTTTGCTTTGGTTGCGTGGATCAAAATCATGGTGACAAGCTGTGAGAGACCCACATAACAAGAATATTCTGGACACTCTTCTGTTTAATCTTGTCCCATTTCTGACTGGAGTCATTTATTGATGACTGGAAAGTTAAAGTAGAGCGAACAATTTTTCACAGAAGTGGCCCGGGCTTTGATTGGTATAGCTACAATGTTCAAACCTAGGGACCTTGTTGTTGGGCTGAGGTATATGGAGGAGGTTTATTTCTCTTATTACAGTCTAAACTATTCTGTGTGGACAGCTGGAAGCCAAGACGACACATTGATCCCACACACATATGGTGAGCAGCTTTCCCTCTTCAACTGTTCACTACTTAAGGGAAATCAAGCTTCATATACTTTTACAAAGTGCACTCTAGTTTTGTCTTTATCTGACGCCACTTTCCAATTTGCCTTTTTGCTGTTTTTTCTAGAAGGCCTGTTGAACTGCACACAGTGAAGAGTTTGACCTTGATGCTTCCAGTCCAGATTAGGGATAATTTAAACAGACAGATATAAAACACATGTGTAAATTCACCCTCTTGATCATAAACAATGCTATAGAGATAGTGAAAAACCAGTCATGAAGAAAAACCAAGGAATAGTGTCCAAAATCATGACTTACATTGATATATAGCACTCTCTGGCTTGTGGCTTATTTTGCCATGATGGATGTTGGTGAAAAATAACAGCTCATGACAGAAGCCATTCAACTTTTATTCTGAAGAACTGACTGCGATATGTTCTACTTGAGGTGATCTTTAGATCAGAGATATGGTAGAATATATGACCCTGTGACGTACAGTTAGATTTTAAGATTGTTAGCACTCTGAAGTTGATTTGGTAGAAATGAAAGTACAGTCAGCAGCAAGTATCCAATTCCTCAATATTACACTGCCATGAGCTCAATCAGAAATGCCTTTGAACAACTTCCTGTGCAATTTTGGATGGAGATATAAAGCTCAGCAAAAAAATTCAATGGCAAACAATACTACCCTACATACATGAAGATACACATTCATTGGCCTTCAAATCTTATAAACTGTTTTTACTGATTCCCAACTGTAACCTTACTTATGTTGTTTGGCTTTTGTTAGAAACCCAGCTAAAATCACTCAAAATGAAAATAAAAGAAGTATAAAGTATCCTATCCAGGTGTTGTATTTTTCTGTTATGGCTTCCAAACACCCCTAGCTTCTTTGGCAAGCTAACAAGTAGCTGACTAAAATCATCACCCAAACTAAGAATAGAGGCACAACTAAAAGAAGACAACTTTGGAGTATCAAGGTGTTGATCATGTCCTCTAATTATTAGAGGCCAACAGCTTCCTAATATGTCTAGCAACTTCAGTTTTGGAAAGCTAACACGTAGCTGTTGGACCCAAACCAATCACACAGAGAGGAAAGTGTCAAGCAGTGTACAAGCTAACCCCAAAATCATTCAAAGCATCTCAGTTGCATAAATGAATTAAGGGTTGAGATGTTTTGATCAAATTTCCTTTCATTTCATTCATGAGCATTTAACGACGGACTTTTAAAGCTATAGATCCAATAACATCATCCCTAATTTGGTCTGTTTCCTTCCCTTGGCCGGGTTCAAGCTGTTATCTGAGGGATATATGTTAGGAATGTTAGACTGTTTCACCTCTTAATGTATGAGTGAAGTCATAAGTTATGGTGCCCAGTGAGTGATTCACTCTTCTTCCAGTGGGTCTGAACCCGTTTTCATCCCCATATTTGGGGGGGGGGGGAGGAGGATGTAAATCCACCTGTTACTCATGCCAATCTAATGTCTAACTAATCTGCTGGTTCAGACTTCAGATTTGAGGCTGAAATAATATCTGACCAGGCATTATCAATGGTTAACGACGGTCGAGCAGCTGCTGTGTTTCCACTAAAGCTGTTAGAGTCATCCAACCTGCTCTGGACATGCAGCCAATACCGTAAGAAAGGACCTGCTTGGTGATGATGCTGAATTTCAGCATATATTTAATGTTCTGTTATTACTTTAATTTGGAGTGAAACCAAATATGTGTTGATGAACAGTTCTGTCCCTGAACGCACCACCGTTAAAACAGCATGTCCAGGGTAAAAGTGAAAGGACAAAAAGAGTGTGGATGATGAATTCTGGATGTAAGTCTGAGTCATGGGTGAAGGTTGAATGGAAACCATTCATGACATTTCCTGTGTATTATTCTAGTCAAAAACAATATATCCTGTTTGTTCAGTCTGCAAAGCAAGGGAGAATTGTCTCATGAGGCCTACAATAACTGACTTCAGTCACTTTAACAAGTATTTCTATTAAATCAAACTCACTTTTAACACAACTTTTAACACAAGCTTATCAACACCATGCTCCGTACAAAATAAAGTGTATTCTGGCCTTGGGGGCTCTTTAAACCAAGATAACTATTAATGAAGGCGCATAAAGGGTCAGAGTTCCCAGACCTGATTATTACAGGCTTGCTTATATAACTTTGAGAAGCGTCAACTCTTAACAGAGCTCCCTCAGTCTCAGCAGATAAGCCTCTATCCAAAAGAGATAACGCTGCTCCAGTCTGAACCACAAAAAACAGCCAGGACAAAGAGAAGGGTGTTTAATTGTCTAATGTGACTGGTGGTGCTTGAGCGAATTCATTTTAAAATGAAAGGCACCAAATTAGTCTGTGAGTGATGCCTGCATGTCCACAGAAGCAGTCACAGGTAGAACTGAATTCATGTAAGGAAACGTGAAAGAAAAACTGATGCCTTGTTAATCTTCACACTTGGAATCTGGCTGCAAACTGTATTCAATACAGTGTAAGTATTACTAATACTAACAAGGGGGCGTCAGGAGGGTGGGCAGCATGACTAAGTGAGACTAGGTGAGAAGTGGGCAAAGAAGATAATGCTCTTTACAAAATGGAAACAGCCAATCTTGCATAACTTTATTTCTAAGACATGTTTCCAAGTTTGTAAATTAACTGGATCTGAAATGATTAGTCAAGAAATTAATTCATGAATCAGTAGGTTGCAGTTGTAAAATAAAAAAAACATGATTATAACTATGATATGGAGGGACACTCAAGACAAAGTTAAGTATTATGCTGAGTTCAGGGCTGGGAACTGGATGGTCGCTGGTTCAAGTCCCGTTACAGACCGAGTTCTGGAAGTAGGGCTGGTAGCTGGAGAGGTGCCAGTTCACTTCCCTGAGCGCAGCCAGGGAAGTGAACTGGCACATTGCTCTTTCATGTGCAGCCCCCGTCACTCTGATATCTCTCCAGTAGTTCATGACCATAGGATCCTGTTTGTGCATGTGTGTGTGTGTGTTGGTGTATTTCAGCCTTTAGGTGTGTGTAGCATGTCTCAACAACAGAGGGAAAACATTGAATTCCCCCTTTGGAATTACTTATAGTAAATCTTCTTTTTCTTGAATATATCCCATAATAAATCCCTATGCACATTTTATGATATAATTATATGTTTTGTCAACACTTCAGCATGAAATCAGTTCAAAAAATATCTACCTGTAGAAAAATATAATGTATTAACCAGCCTTATTGTGTGTTTTTAATTGTTTTCTGAATATAAAAAAAATCTAAATCATTTTTGTTCTTAACTATTGTATGCCCCTTTTTTAAATACATGTATCGTTTTGAGATTTGTTTAAATGTAAAAGTGCGTTATAAATAAATGTATTATTGTTTTAATAAGAACAAATAATCAGGCAGTTTTGGATCAAACTTTCCTGTATTAAATCTTTGTGTAATCCTAAACTCAAACTGTGGGGCTAATCTTTAACGAAAAAAAAAAAAAGAAGAAGCAGGTTTAAGTTAAGGTATGTCATCATGTCTGTAATTCGTAATGCCATCATCGGCCGCTGATTGGCCGCCCCGCCCGCGAGCTGCAGAGGTAGCGATGGGGCGTGCTATATGAAGGGCTGCGCGCCGCTCCGGGATCAGGAGAGAAGCAGCAGCGAGACAACAAGCAGAGCAGAGAAGTGGACATTACACACACACACACACTCACACACACACACACAGCCTTCTGCTACAACTACAGCAGCGAATCCAGGACGGACTTCATACAGTTTATTCCAACAGCAGAGAGAAGCGGGAAAAGTTTGGAGAAATGCAGTCAGTGTACCAGCACCTGATCAGCCTGCTGTTTGTGTTCAGCAGTCTGCACGTTCACCAGCTGACAGAGGGCTGCTCGTGCGCTCTGACGCACCCGCAAGACGCCTTCTGCAACTCCGACATCGGTAAGTGACGGATTTTATGGACCCTTCTACAGCTATACCGCGTTTTTTTCCAAGCATGAAGATATTGTACAGCCTGCCAATCAAAACAGAAGAATGGACCGACCTCCTATTAATTCATGCGTGTCGTTTAGTAAAGCTTCCTTCAGTTAAGAGTAAACACAACAAGTTGCATTTACGATTATGTGACACATATCGACCCAATATTTACACCAGCTCTACTACTTTATCCTTGCATAAAGTTAAAAGGTAATAATGGATGTAGTTGGATTTTCTGAGCATTTAATTGTGAGCTAAGTTTTCAATTTTTAACTAAATTTTAATGTATTCTCATGTACAACCATATGCCAATCAATGAAAAAGAGAATACGTCTAAAGGTATCAAATATTTCCTTTTATTCACACCCAAAGTGACTGTGATTTATATATTCTGAAATCATGATCTATTCCCTCAGTCTTGTTTTGAGCTACAGGTGTGTTTTTGTTGCTTATTTATCTGCTCAGTCTGGTATTTCTGTCAGTCAGCCACCCTGTTGTACCTCAGATAGAATATGCCCAGCCTCAGCTTCATAAACATTTGGACATTGAAGGGGGGGGGGCTTACAAAGCTTGTTTTACTGCCTGGTTATGCTTTCTCTGACTTCCCAGAAAAATATTAACTCCGCATTTGGCTTATGATGGAATTCCACTCCAACCTGTCCTCTGTTTTTAGATAACACTGGTTAAGGCTGTGGGATTATCTGATCTGCCCTGTAGGGAGAGAGGGTGTTTTTGGGTCGGGGGTTTTGGAGAGTTTGGGGGGTTTAAGCATTTCTGATGGGACAGGAGAGTTGTGACAGACTCGGGTTTCCCTGCCTGATAACATGAAATTTGCCATCACCTATTTGAATTCACGATCACAACAGTCTGTACTGGTAATGACGACGTTATGCTTCATTTTCATTTGACCCAAAAACGTGAATCCATCATGAGGCTCTCTAAAACCCTGACACATAAATGCACAATAATCTCTCAGTTTGCCTGAGCACACACACACACACACACATACATACACACACATACACACACACACACACTGCAGCCATGTGTTCGCTCTAAAGCCTTGTGTCGGGAAACACGTTGCAAGGGAAGTCCTAGTTTCTGCAGGAACGCCTCTTTTACACACTCAGATGTGACTTTTAATAATGTTGCTCTTACAACTGGTCAGCTGTTAAGGCTGATAAGGAGAGATGACCAAAGTCTTAATAATTTCTTCTTTTTTTACAACTGAATGAAAAATATGGAACACTTGCAAAATGTCCAAAATGTCTTATCCTTATGCATAACAATTTGTTTTTACCAAACTAAATGAATACTACTGTATGGTTTTAAGGTAAATATGCTAAATGGTAAACTGACTGCACTTGTATAACACATTTCTAGTGTCCACCGATGCAAGTTATGTATGTCAGTATGTAGCTTAGGCTAAATAAGGCTAAACCCTCCAGTAAATCCACCTTTTAGAATAGTTATTTTTACTGAAACACTCATCAGTCTGGAGTCTTGTTTTATCGGTGAGATTGCTAGGCAACCACAGGAGACTCTAGTAAGTCACAGTAAGTTATGACATAATCCCCTAAAAAAAGAAAACATCTTTACACTTTGGCTTTTGTGCGAATCAAACTGAATAGAAATCACATCCTGAAAAGGAAAGCTGCTGCATGTGCTGGTAGGACAGAGCCAGGCTAACTGTTTCCCCCTGAGTACATTCTTTATGCTAAGCTAACTGGCTGTTGGCTGTTTTAAAAGTCAATATTACAGTCATCAGAGTGGTTTCAATATTTTTTATTCTAGCTTCAAGCTTTTTTAAACTATTCGGTTATTTATGATGTCATTGCAACTATGACACAAAAACAGTTTGAACCGTCATGTCCCTTCACTCTTCCCATTCGCTAAGACTGTTTCTGTTCCGATCTGATCTCCTATTTTGGTTTGCAATTCTGAACGAGTCCACTGCAACAAGATAAACATGGCGTGAATAAAATAAAGCAACTCATTTCAGTCTAACATTTAAGACATCCAAACCATTTAGGTATTACTAATCATTTACATTTGTACTTGTTCCTTTCGATTGTTTGAGCAGTGTCGGCTATTTCACTTTAAGAACATAATGTGCCTTTAAAATGGTCCTTCGTTGGCAGTGTCCTACTTACTACATCATCGTGCACTACAAGGCTTTCCTTTTCCAAATGCTCCTCATCCTTCAGCCAAGAATATTTGGCATTGTTGCCCAAATTTGGAGAACACAACCAGTGTATTTCTTGTAGGCGTCAGTCACTTCTTTTAGTTCCGACGTAGGCGGGAATTCACGCTGATGCTCTGGTGAATCCTTTGTAGAGTCGTAGAGAGGGAGGAGGTGTGGGCTTGGCCTACTAGCTTTCTGAGGACCCCAACTTAAAATAAAAGGAAGTCTTAGAAATAGGGCACAGATATTTGCGTTTTTGGTGAACTTTGACCACCAGGCCTGTGGGAGCGTCTTCAGCCAAGTGACCCGGTTGGAGTGATTGAAAATACCGCCTCCGCAAACACTCATGCGATGCCTTTCACAGTCCTTCAGATCTTCAGATAGCTCGTGGTGTTGGCACCCGCTGAGACTTGCATTTGTAGAATGTGGGACTGACTTCAATGGGCGCAGTGATCAGTGGTGAGCCCCACAAATCCCATTTCCAAGGTCCCAGCTTAACTCGACGTGTGCTTAGAATACTCGCAGTCCCTCTGATATATTGCTCCATCCATCGAGGGGAAACGCTTGTGAAACAGCAGATCAATGCTGTACAAGTACAAGAGTCAAAGACGGCTGCATTTATTAATCTGTGTCAAAATGACTTGTTCTGCATGTTAAAAGTTAGAATCATGATGAAACTGCACTTTTCCCTTGGCTTCCTCAATCAAAGTTAATCAAATCCAAACTTTAAGGATGTGTGTGGGAAGTCTGAATGGTTTAAAATAATCCAGTTTATGCTTTTATGCAACTTTTTCATTTACAGAGTTAACTTCAGATTACATCTACAGGTGATGATTTAAGCAAACATCTTTGGTCGTCCAAATTCGTGAAAGAAGCAAAGAATTCAAGATTGCAGTGCATCAGTTTAGAGCTCTCTTAACCTGATGTGATATTCCAAACTTGATTCATTCTTTTATTTTATGTCCATTTCTATCACCTCAAACTAAAGCCAGCACTTCTACTCCTGTCTACGAGCCTACTTTATGAACATAGGCTCGGAAAAACAAAAAGAAAGCATAGGGGTTGAAATGGCCACGAGGGAGAAACCCTGTAATTCTCACCGTTGACATCAAAGGCAACAGGCCTGAATCTTCCCGAAGTAAGACTTGTAGTTGAGTTCAAAGGGGTTTTGCTCTTGTTTTCATGGCCCTGACCCATAATCACCCGCAGGCACTCCACAGGATGAATCACAATTAGGTTTTAAACGTTGGAAATTGGGTTGTTAGAGGCTGTCTTTTTAATTTGATGAATTGAAGTTGAAATATAAAGCATGACGGTTCTGTGAGAGTATCTAGTTAAGTCTTTTTATTGTCTGGTATGTTGTAAGGATCTAGATTGCATTTAGCTAGATTGCAACTTTCTTGGCAATACCTACTCAATAAACGTAATTTTTGGAGAACAACAAGTGGGAAGTCCTCCACAGTGCCTTTGAGTGGCTTGTCTCGGTTCTGACCAGGTTAGAAAGGCATCTTGTTAGTTCTCTTTGCTCACATACCTGGGCACCAAGCAATGACCTGGCTGCTTTCACACTCAGACCCAGTTGGCTGCTATTACGCAGCTCTGGTTAAAGCAGCTCATTCACCAGGGGTAATGAGCAGCGCTTGTTTTCCCAAACCTCGCCGAAGGTAAGATTAGAGGCCCGGCAGTAAACTTTGACCCTGAGATTTAATATCGCTCTGCTAGGACGCTGGTTCCCAAGCGCTCTGGGTGACAGGAGCAAATCTTTACATGATTCCAGCGTGAACCAGGTCAGTTGCTGAGGATTAGCGTGATGCGTATGCTCGTTTTGGGATAGCGGATCAGGCCATTGAGAGAAAGGGATCCTGCTCTGCTTTGGGTGCTTTGTTGGGTAAAGAGGAGTCATCAATCTGCTAATGAGCTATGTAGTGTTGAGTTAAATCACTCCCTTTTCATCAGTCCTAGCCTCCTCCAACAGGTGACAGATGACAACCTGAGCAAGCCGGAATCCCTGTGTAGAGGATTGTTATGTAAGCTCGGATCAAATATCCATAGTATTCCCAAAAGAGAGCTAAAACACAATGAGATGTCAAACATTGTAGATTCCAAACAAGCCTGGGATGTTTGTCCACTGAGCCAGGCGTATCAAATGTCCGATCCGGCCCTCCCTTCTGTAATGACAACACAGCCTCTTAGGGGTTCTATGTTTTAAACAGGAGGCCCGCAATAGGGGCCATGGATGCAAGCATAGCATAAAATATAACTATTGGACCACAGACCAGTCCTCTATTTATCATCACATCCACTTTATAAGGGAACTTAAGAGTCATTTGCCCTTCATTGACCAAGAAATAAAGGTGAACAATGTATGTCAAACCAAAAGTCTAAAGGAAACGATGAGAGGCAATCAGCAAAAAGAGCCACAGCAAGTTGGTGAATGACAAAGTGAGAAGAGAAGAGAGATACAGAAAGCAGGCACACAGATAACGCTAGGCCAACTGTCAAGGCTTCAAGAGTTGGTTGTGACTCTTTTAAGGCACACTCAGATACTCACTAATTTGGAGACGGGGCTGTACTGTGAAGGAAGCTTACGGAGACATCAATTTTGGCCTAGACAACTGGTGTTTTTGAGGTCGGTGAGCCTGGTATTATAATTTAAATGACCAGTTGGGTTAGAGATTCCCATGCATCAAGCCAACAGAAACATCTTGTGGAAAAGACATTCGTCGCCTTGATGAAAGAGGAAAACATTTTTCTTCAAAAACAAAGCAATGAAGATGAAATACAACTCTCAAGTCAAGAAATACTACATCCCACTACTCCCATCACTTGTGCCCCTTTTCTTTGCTCTGGATTAATAATGTGATTACTCAAAGTCCCACATGGGTTCACAATTCTCTCAGTAGTGCAACTTGAGGAGACAATGCAACATTTCATCTAAGACATGCAACATAGTTCCAGTCTTCTGGTCTTGTATGAAAAGAAGCTAACTCTATTTGGACGTTTGTGTAACTGGTAGTTATGGGTCAGTATGCTGCCTTTAGGACTCTCCTGTACTTTTAACTCTTACACTACAATGTTAATCTAGTGTTGTCAGATCAATAACATTTCCCTGTAATCAACCATGACTTATTGTAAAAGAGTTTTATTCTACATGAGTTAGTTGTCAAAGTACTTGATTGGCCGTCTTTGCATTTTGCCAGCAGTGAGTGGACGTTGCTGGCTGTATGCTGCAGCATTTCAGCGGATACAGTTTCAGTGTTTATTTTTGAGCGTGGTAGTGTGTCGTCCTGAGAATTCCTCTTCCTCCCACTCGCCTCCTCACACTTGGACCACTTTCTGCATACTAAAATCAGCGTCATGCACCTCGTGCCTTGCTCGCTCTCTCTCTCTCTCTCTCGTCCTCACACACATAAACACACACTCGCGCACAAATGGGTAACCTCGTTCCCGTCATGTCTGCAGTTTGCCACACCGTACGTAGGCTGAAATAAATGTTTCACTAAATTACATGCTCACCTTACGATTTAGCGCTTGCATTCATGCTTGTGTAATCCCCCTGCTTAAGGCGAGAGATACAGAGTGAAAAATGGATTCACTTCTTTTCTGTCAGACCCTGGTTACTGCTCTTATCACCACAAGCCTCCCACTCTTGAAAATGTATGTCAGATCCTCTGCAGAAGATGAGTGCTCGTGCGTCACAGTACTGGGCTGTAATTCCTCATCTTTAACAAAGTAAGAAGAGAGAGAGACTCTTACATAAGAGTAGAGATTTGCTGACAGATATTTCAACATAAATATTTTGTTCTATTGAGTAATAAATTAGATCATGTCGCCCAGTAGGATAACCTGTTGCTGCCTCCCATGTTTAATTCCAAATTATTTCCCAAAAATGTGTTCAGATACGTTATATAAAGTGTTTAACTATCTTTCATGTTCTGATTAGTCATGTTTAGCTATCTTAAATTAACTAGCGTTTACTTTTTGATTTGATAGAACTTTGAGCTCCATGGATCATCCAAATACTAAATGATGTGATCGGACAGATTGCATACGTAACTACAGTAAGCTTTTACAATATTAAAGTCTCATGTCAGTGTGAGCTGAACGCATGTCAAAACAGAAAACCATGCACAATGGCTCCAGTTGACTTCATATTGAGAATAACTGCAACATTCTGAGTAACACTACTTACCAAAATGTAATCTAACCTGTTAGAAAAACCAGAAATGGTTGAATATCCTTGTGAGGTTGTATATATGTGTACATGGGGTTTAAGTGTAAGTGTCAGTATATAAGAAAGGAGTTTAAGGGTGGAGGATAAACAGACTTTTATCCACACAATATGCTCATAGTTTCAGTCGAACCAGTGTGATGTGAGATCACATTATGAAACTGGGTTAAAGAAACACTTGTAATGTAGACTTTTTGACGTGACCAGGCAGCCCTGCACTGAAACGTAAATATGACTGCTGAATGGAGGGAAGGTCAAGGGGTCGCAGTCGGGAGTATGACTCAAACCCTCTGTCTCCGGAGCAGCTGAGACCCTTCACACATTCCTTTGGGCGATGGCACCATCGCTGGCCAATTAGTGGCCGCCTTCCAACAAGAGAGGTCCTATCTAGGTGTACTTCGGTATAATCAGCTATATTTTAGCCGGGGTCTGAGGGTTGGTTATGAGGTCAGAAACTAGGTTTTGGGGTGACACTTTAGATTAGCTGGCGGTGTATATAACTGTAACAGAAGTATCCTGTTCAATCTGCACATTCTTCTGTAATTGAGCCAAGTTCCTCTGTAATTGCAGCAGCCGACGTCTGTCAAAAAGCGCTTGGGTACATTTAGCAGAAACCATCAGGCAATGGCATTCTTTAGTTTATATGAAAAGAGTTGACAGATTAATGGATTTAATGTTTGAAATCTATTGCGAGAGGTCAGAAAGCAAGGGCAGGCAGGGAGTCAATACATACGGAGCACTAAAAGGTCTGAAGTGACGTTTGTCGTTGCTGTTTGATTTCTTGTGAAGCTGTTTATAAGTAATATAACACAATGCTGGCAGGTGAAAAACACTCAGCAATGTTCTTTGCATGTTACCTTATTCTGTTTGAAAGACTTAGATTTTGTAGTCCAGCATATTGAATGCATGTCGGTATTTATGGATTTGATACCGATGGAACATCAGATATTTTAGTGCAACAACCTAATTAACCAAGCAAACTCCAACAATGTCAGTTGGCAACTTTGGTCCAGACAAAAATATCTTTATAAAGGATTGATGCTTTAAAATTAGGACAACAATCCCTTCTAGAAAGAAGATAATTACTTAAGACTTTAGTGAACCCTAACTTTTATCTAAGGCCACTATGAGGTTGAAGGGGATGAATTGTAACCATTAAGGTGATGTTCTGACTTTACACCTAGCGCTCATCACGTCCAACTTTCACGTTGTTTGATGCCCAACCTCAACTCGACTTTGTGTTAAGTGACAGTTGGTTGCCAATGGTTGCTTTGTTGTTTGTACATTGTGGCTAGTATGTTAGCATGCGTATCTTAGCATTTAACACCAAAGCTTAGCCTCTCAGCTCCAACTGGACTTTGTGTTTAGTGCCAATTAGCCAATGCTTGAATGCTGACATGTTAAGATAAAATGCTTACCATGGTTACCATAACTTGCTTATAATTGGCATATTCATATATTTAGCACCAAAGTACAGACAGCCTCTCAAAGGTGTAAGAATTCTTCCAACCACTACTCTTCCTTTTGTCATTGACTATTTTCTTTGATTCAAATTCTACCACTGGCCATTAGAAACACTCCTTAAAGACACCAACTTAATATGAACTGTTTGAAACTCAATACGCTGTCTTTCTATTGGTAAACTGTTGGATAACTCAGTTTCCTTTGATTCGTTCATACTAGCCTAAAATAATCTTTTCCAGGTTATTTATATAAAGCCTTGGTTCACATTGGGGTCTTCATGTCCAGAATAAGTTTGTGGTCACCACTTCTGGGTGGGCGTGACGTAACTGCTTCCTGACTTTTATTTTTATACCATTTGCCTGGAAGGAAGACAGCTCGACAAATAGGGACCAAACAGAAGATGCCACATGTCTCAGACTTTTTCTTCTTTTTACCTCTCTGGGGAATGTGAGACCCAGAAGAATGTGTAAAGGAAATTCCAGCAGGAGAAGATAACAAACATAGCCTGTGTTAGTTGTGTCTGCGGCCGGTCGTATGTGGGCAGCAGGTGAACTTCACAGAGGACTGACTGCTTATGCAGGCCCCTGTGGCCTTCCACCATAAGCTTCCCTACTCCCAACACGAGTGAAAGCAAATAAATCAAAGTCAGCAACGATTGTTTTCCCTTTGTAGACATTTACATGAGGGTCCCCCGAACTGATAAGATCTTTTAAAGCCCTGATTCTGATATAGAAGGAAACCTGTTCAGAGGAGAAACATACACTGCAAATGACTTCTTTCTGATGTTTTTTTTTAATAAGGAAAAAGCTTATAGGAGTCAAATTTACGTCTTTAAGTTCCTAGAAGTGGGAGTGACATTTCCTGTAAATGCTACAAGGTTTATCTCGGTATTAGCAGCCCTCAGTCTGAATCAAAAGCAATGAGGATGAAGCCTTATTACTTGCACGAGGCCTCTTTTCCACTTACTCCTCTACCAAACTCAAACGTCCCTCTAGTATTTTTTTCTTCTTCTCTTTTTTGCATTGGCCTCCCTTGGCAAACCGCAGCAATGCAGAAAATCGGATAAATGGATTAACCGTGGTGCCAACCTAGTCCTAAAATGGTATTTATAATGGCTTTCCTAATGCCTCCTGCTGGCCGGGGCAGTGTGTTATTTGAAGGATTGGAGAGGAAAGCTCAGGGTAATACTTGCGAAGAAGGAATGTGACAGTTTGATCTGAAGTCATTGACCACACTGTCTCTTCTCTTCACAGTGATTCGAGCAAAAGTGGTCGGCAAGAAGCTCCTGAGAGATGGGCCCTTTGGAACGATGCGCTACACAGTCAAGCAAATGAAGGTATGAACGTAAATCTTATCGCTGCTCCACAAAACACCAAATCACTTCAAGGAAGCCTGTCTCCATGGGACGTGCAAAATAACCACTAGGCCACCGGCTCCCCATTATTTAATAAATCAACGGAGAAACACATCTTCATTATTGGTGGAATGACCAAGCTTGTGAATGTCATGTGGGTTGTCAAGTTATCAGCATTTTAAACGACAATACTTTTGCTACCAAAACGTTGCATGGGACTTCTACTTTTGTTGCCATGGTACCAATACACTGCCAATGTATTTCTGAAGTTCAGACAGTGCTGTCACCTCTTCAGTTCTGTCTGTTAAACGTAGCATTTGTATCTTTATGGAACACCAAAAGGACTTTGAATTAACCTCACCCGCTCTCTCTTTTGAAAAATAAAAGGCTGAAGGTTGGTAGTTTTCTTGAACTTTGGTATTTTGTGATATTATTGATCATTAAAAGAATGGTGAAATCAAAAAACAGTATCATAAAGTATTGAACATTTTGACAACCTTATTGCAAGGTTAGTTTGACATTAAACATGTAGCTATGTAACCCATGATTTTGTTACCACTGGACCATTTAATTCAGTGTTTAACTCCAGGGAAAAATAATCACTTAAATGCATTTCTTACTTTAAGAAAATTCTTTACCTCCCTTTGAAATGCACCAGTGATGAAATGTCATACACTTGCAGGAACCTCTTTAGCTACAGGACTGCTCCTCCGCCCCCTCAGCTGCTGTTTGATAGCCGAGAAACGGTTTGGGATACTTATCCTGAAAGCCTCTTCTTCACTTCCTCTATATTCTTATATAATGCTGCATATTTCTGACAGATGCTGACATGGGCCTGCTGCTCACACAGGAGCCAGGCCGGAGGATTAGCGGGCTTAAAGGCATTTCAGCTCAACCAAACTTCACCCTCAGAGTGTAAACATCTCAATAGAGTCATGCACTGCATCAGTACAATCCCAGTTTGTATAAAAGCATTAAGTGGCCTCTTATTAGTGAAGCGCACACATCATCACTGTAAGGATTATCCCCAGGAATTAGAGGTGACCTTTGCACCTCTTGGTGTTATGTATTTGTATTACAGTCTGCTGGTTCATACGGCAAACAGTGGGTTTCCTTGTGAGCTGTCGGAGAATACAATTCCCTCCAAATTTCAACAAATCCTATGAGACAAATGCCTTTTGCTTTCCCAAACCTCCGCAGTTTCAGGCTTAAGTCACAGTTTGTTCTGCTTTTCTGGGAGCTTCACGTCTAAACAGGGATTTCCTGTTGTTCCCAGACAAATAAATTACTCTGAAGAAAACAGTTCTCAGGGCAAACGCTGTGCGCTCTGCATGCCTGAGCTAAACAGAAGGAGCTGAGGTCCACCGTGGTTCAGTAATGACCTTTTGCCAAAGCAGCATCAAAGTGAAAGCGTATTGCACAACATAATTATGTTAACTATGATTTAGTTAAGGGCAGTGCCTAATACTGCTTCTCCCACGAAGCAGTCCTTCAGGAATGTCATCTGATAAAGCAGGAGGACTGTTTTCTTTCCTGATTATTTACGAGAGGAGTTGGGGTCAGGTTTAGTAGTGTCAGGTGGAGGAGTACAGCATTGCACCTTTTCACTCAGGTTGTAACTCCAGATTTATTTTTTTCCATGTCTTGCAGATGTACAAAGGATTCGACAAGGTCCAGCACGTGCAGCACATTTACACAGACGCCTCAGAGAGTCTGTGTGGTGTCAAGTTTGAAATCAACAAGTACCAGTATCTGATCACAGGTAAGCTTACTGTCTGACTTTGTCTTTAACAAGGTTCACTTACATATGAGCGACTTGTGCCCATAAACACTTCAGAGCGAGTTTGATTGGCCTAAAATCCCCTCTCACTCCTCTCCTCTCCAAGGACTTCCTCATTTGCCCTGTGACACAAACTTTCCGACTATTTATAAACTACAACTAACAACAGTGCAGGCATGCAAAGTAGGGACCCTTTTTTCATTAAACTTCTGCACTTTTTCCCCCTCAACTTCTCAGGCCAGAAGCAGCCGTTTTCTCCCTCTCTCAAGTGGTAATTAACAGCTAGCAGGAAGCGACTGGTGTTTTCCAGCCAAAGCTTTTTATGAGTTGCTATTTCCAACAGAGGTGCAGTTTACTTTGGACCCTGCTGTGCTTGGCGCATATAACTGTCGCTAAGTCCCCAACCTGCAAATACTGTAACTACACCCCACAGTTCATGTGAATGAGCATGCGTTGCCAGGCAGCGACCGATTTTGTTTACCCAGTCAGGGTGCGAGTGACATCACTGACGTCTTCAGTGTTCTCAGGGCGTCTATATTAAGTCCTCCATATGATCGAGACTGCATTACGTGCACTTAAAACACACCATGGCCTGTGAAAGGAGCTGCTTGGCTCTCCTTTGATCAAGCCTCCAGTGCTCCAGGCCTGATCAGTATTTAAGGAGCATGTCACACACTCAACACTATGTAATAAGCCGGAGAGTGACTCCAGTAATCCCAGCGTGGGGATGCAGCCCCGAGCAGGGAGGTTCAGGGGGGTCGAAGAAACACGTATTTGTGAGCTGTCAAATTCCCGTATGGTGACAACACATCGACGGAGACATATGGTGACAAATCATGAAATACTAAGAGCTCACAGGCTGCAGCGGTGCACCTGTCTCAGGAGGCGGTTAGCCGCTAACGGTCCAGCGTTAAAAATAGATGTCTGTTAACCTTTGGAAATTCTGAAATAGAGGTGTTGGTTTAATATGGGCTTTCAGTGTGGGATTGTCTTTCCTTAGGTAAACAGGTTGGATTGCTTGAGCAGTGTGTTTGCATTATCCTGTGTTACATGTAGAGGATTATGAAATTAGGCAAATTACAAACGGCATTTGTTGCCTTAAAGATTAGGAATAAGTCTACAAAGTTTCATACCAGCCATTCAATGCTAACTGTGATTAAATGACCATCAAGGATTGTGGTATTTTTAAGCTTTCAAGCTACAAATCTAGTTCTGTCTATTATTTCTCATATCACCACTTTAGTCTTAAAGTGGGATCACTAATATTTTCACGGACCCTGGTTATAAATTCAGTTGGTGGTCAGCTTGCTCTTGCTTTAGCCCCACAAGTTAGTTGACATTAACAGTTTATAGTAAAAGATCTCAAATATTGGATGGCTTCCCCTTAAATGTCAAACGGATCCTTTTCCCGTATCCAGAAAGACGCAGTTGAGTTAGAGGTCCCTCACTCACTACCCCCACCCCTCACCCGCCTGTGCCTAATTAGCACTAATTACAAACGTCTCATGCAAGATGCTTATTTTAGAAAACATTCCAGCCCTAATGTATGCACTTCAAGATCATCACTACAAGCACGTTATCATGCTACCTAGCATTTAGCTCAACGCACCAATGCACATATGTATAAGCTCCCCTTTTAATACAAGGGCACATGTTTTATCAGTCTTTTAGCACCTGTTCAGACTTGTGACTGCAGAAGATAGAAGCCATATCCACACCACCTGATCAGCTGGAATCAGGTGTTAACATTTGTACTAAAGTCAGATGGCATGTTAACGGTCTCTGGAGCAGCAGGTGGCTGTCAAGTTGCCAAGTAGCACCAGAAATATTTCCTTCAATCCTAAACACAGCTTATTAGATTCAAATTGTTTTTCAAAATAGTAACCGGTTCCATCTGTTCTTTTCTTCCTCAGGTCGAGTTTATGATGACAAGGTCTACACAGGTCTGTGCAACTTCAATGAGCGGTGGGAACGTCTCTCATTGGCCCAGAAAAAAGGCATCAACCATCGTTACCAACTGGGCTGCGCTTGCAGGGTGAGTAAAAACATTGCAAAGTAACCTTTGTCAAAACAGGACATTCAATTTGCTTTATGAGGATGAAGCAGGAGGTTCAAGAGAAGGAGGAGTTAAATCTGACTCCTTCATTTCACATCTTAAACTGAATGTTGCAGGGTGTCTGTAAAGTCAAGTAGAATATTGATTAATGTTTAAAGGAGAAAGGGAACTCTTTCTTACTGAAGTGCCTCCCCTGTGTGAGTCAAACCGATTAAGGCTCATTTATGGTAATGCTCAGTTTCTATTTGGCTAGCCAACACATACTTGCATGGCTAGAACCGGTCTGTTAAACTCCAATAACCTTCACGGTTAAATGGCTGTAGTGCCATATTGTTGTTATTGAGGATAAATTATGAGCCCCGTTTCCTCTACAATACATAATAGCTGTTCCACAGAGACAGAAATTCAGAGAAAACAAGTTTCACCACTGTCAATGTGAGTTAAGTAACAGCTCTGGAATCAGCTCTAGTCTTCATTCCAAGTTTTCTGTATCTGAAACATGTAGCCTGACGCTGTGCAGCTGCTGACCCGCCTCGTAAACGTCCTACTGTACATAAGTGTCCTGGACATCTGCTAACACCATCAGGCCCTATCAGTATGAGTGGCTTAGCAGAGAGACTTATTTGTTCCCAGTGCAGGCAGCGACTGTAAACCGTCTTCACTGTGAAGATGGCAGCAGCCCAGAGGCATCCAGAGAAGGCCATCGATCAGCTGAGGCTTCGGAGTGAGAGTCAGGGATCACAGGCGGGCGTAAACATCATCGCACTTATTTAAGGCACTCGGTCATCCTCCGCATTCCTCTCCTAATGATGATTTATCTTGGTGGAAAGAAAGGAAGCGTGTTGCACCGGTTAGAAAATTATTCTCCACACTCCATTTAAACTGCACAAACCAGGAAGTTGTGTCTAACATTTCTGAACCGTGGAGGGCAGACTCTTCATGCATGAACAACAAAAACAACAAAAAAAAAAGAAAAGTGTGCCCTCTTAACTTTCTGAGTGACTTTGCTGGCACATTCAGATCCAGAGAAGTGCAGCTGATGACTCCTTTCTGCTGTCATAAATAACACGCCGCGTTTCCGTTCATCACCTCTGAGTAGCTATGTGCTTCTTCCTGTCAATTCATGCGGTGTATTCATCCATGATGCTGCTTGTGTTTTTGTGCGAGCACCTGGAGGTGTGACGCATGAAAGAGACTCAGTAAAATGTAATAAAATATGATTATGAGATGACAAAATCAACGCTACTTCAGGATGCTGGCTGACGTACTTGAAGCATTCTAAATAAAATACATACAAAAAAAGCCAGTGAATGCTTCCTCACTTTACGGTTGATGATTCAAAAAGCTGCCCTTTTACACCTTAGGCTAATCTGCTGCAGTAATTGAAAGCAAATACTGAAAAGCGGTAGCGCAAAGATGAGATTCCATCTTCTTAATGTGTAATCTAGTGCATCTTTTGAACGTAGACGCTGATCTCTAGTGGGAAAACTGTGTGAAAATGTTTTCACTCACTAAGGGATTTCTACTTTTGACTTTTACAAAAAACGTTTCACCCCCTTGGCTAACTGTTGTTGCTAAAGGGTTAGCCTCAATTGGAATATAAGCCCCTTGACGATCCTCTGACAAATGTGTGAATGCCATTTACTTCTGAAATATACTTAGGGGCTATTTGCTTTCCTTGGAAGACTGAGGTGCCTTGCTCAAACAAGTATGCTAAATATCAAACTAGTTGCACCAGACTGCTAGCTTACATTATCTTAAAGATAATTAGCATGTAGAAACAGCTAGCTTCGCTCCATCCAAAATTGTCTTTGATTCATACATTGAACAAACAATATAGAACATGTCCCACTGGTTGTTGCTAATATACTGTTCTGTTTCTTGATTCATGGCTTCATCTCCAGTTTTGCTTCTGTCTCCTCAGATTAAGCCCTGCCACTATCTGCCCTGCTTCGTGACCTCAAAGAACGAGTGCCTATGGACGGACATGCTGTCCCACTTCGGCTATCCCGGCTACCAGTCCCGGCACTACGCCTGCATCCAGCAGAAGGAAGGCTACTGCAGCTGGTACCGGGGCATGACCGCACGCGACAAAACCACCATCAACGCCACTGACCCCTGAACCCAAAATCACATCGCCCCAAAAAAATCCACTGCCACCTCCCTGTATCCGTCCCGTCCTTTCAGTTCTAGAGAATTACAGGACTCTTAAAGCTCACTGGCCTGAGTGTCAGCCTCTTTTAAAGGGGTTTTAAAAAGAGAAAAGAATAAATCCATTACAGTGCCTGTTTTGTAGCACTTCTGATTGAAAAACAATACCTTTTTTTTGTTGTGCACATTGCCCTGTCGAACTTTAATAACGACTTCCCGTACCAAGTAGCCCTTCAATTTAAAAGTCTCTTAAGAGATATTTGAAGAACTGTCTAAATTATAGAAATAACGTCACTGTGTTTCTTTAGTCAAAGACGAGCAGTGACTGGTACATAATTAAAATGATCAAGCATCATAAGGGTAAATTAGCCACCAGCAGTTAGCTTATTGCTGACCTAGTATTACTATATTTTTGTACATAAAGGTAGGTTTAGCTTCTCACAAGTAAAGGTCATTCATTCATTTCATTTAAACAGTTCAAACAATTATCACTCTGTAAATTTGAGATTTAAAGGAGCCACATTATTGCTTGTGAACTGCACATGCTAGCGTTAGCCTCAGTTCTGCACATTAGCAAAACAGACCACAGGCAAGGAACTTTTCTACAATACTGATCGAGTGCCAATGAGAGGTTTTATCCCTGACAGTTACACCTCTTATTCTGGCTAGAATCTTTTTTTGTTTTTTTTGAAAATGGTATTGTTTTACAGTGAAGTACACATTGATTATGTTGACGGTTTATACTGTTTGCGTTTCTATGAATGCTAGCATCTCTGCTTACCTGAATGTTTGCAAATGTAACTCGTTTTGCAGTTATATGACAAACGGCGCCCTCTCTATTGAGCACTGATGAATATCTTAAAATATGTCTGTGTTACAGTGCCAACGCAGGGGAGAGCTCACTTCTTGCAGAGATGATTTTTATTTTATTTTTTTGCTGTATATAACGTAAGCTACAGAAATGAACTATCAACTCAGCTGAAACCTCTGTAATACTTTTATTTATATGTTTAATGGAATTCACGTTTACCATGTGGTGTGTCTGCAAAAAACAAAACAAAAAATATATATTATATAACATCCAGTCAGAAGACAACCACCACAGCCTGTGCAACCATCCACAATGAAGGACCAGTATATCCAATGGTATGGTACTTATGGTACTTTTTGATTGGCTTGGTCATATTAGTTCCCCTGGCTGGTACTCTTCACACGCATCAAGCATAGACAGAGGTTTCAGACAATGAGATATTTTGTAAGTGTATATTCAAACTTTTTGTATTTAACTATTGCAAATGGACATATTATATATATAAATGAAAGTAACAATATTGTCACTAAATTCATTCTTCTTCACCTGTTCCATCCAGGGTTTTTTTGTTATCTCTTCCCAGTGCCGTACCTTCAGTCCATTCCATTTGTAGACACAGACTTGCCTCAAAAGGGGGTAACGGCTCCTCCATCATGAAAAACTAAATCAATACTGTACTGCTAACCAAAGCAGCATTAACCTTCCAAGGGCGCATTTTGCATCACAGCAGCATGTCGAAGGCTGTCCTTTTATTTATTTATTTTTGTAAGACTAAAGACTTAGAAAACAACACATGAAAATCTATTACAATTAGTAGAGGCCAGATAATAGAACATGCTAATGTTTCACATGTTAGTAGTTAACAACTTTTAAAACAAATTAAGGTTACGGAAAGCGGTCCCATTTTGAAGGCTCCTTCAATATGGGGCCTACAAATGTGTCCTAGCTTGCGGTACAAATGTTAAAAACTAAAGGGGCCTTGACACTTTGGATATGTTAGCTAATCTCAGTGCAGCTGTCGAGGTAGCTAGGCAACAGGAGTTTGGTAACATAAGGGTAGGGTTGGAACCGCTGGTGATGCAAACAACAAAACCCTCTTTAGACAAACCATCTCAGTTCAGTTTGGCATGAGTGCTCTCGAGGGCTATAGATTATAGGTCCTTCAAAGTACACAACCCCTGAATTGGGACACAGCTTGTTTACTAATTAAGACGCTAGCATACAGCCTTTTAGCTTAGCCTACCTGGTTCTGCTCGCAAGTAATGAAATCTGCCTAACAGAATCCTAAAGCTAACTTGTTTTCAAACCAAACCAACACCATTAAAAAGTAGATTTGGTATTCTTGGCCAGGTTTTTAAACACTTTTTGAGAGAGTTAACCTAAAAACGTACAACAGCCAAGCCAATGTAGCTGTTTCCAGTCTTTTATGCTAAGCTAAGACTAGCTAAGGCTTCTGTAGTTGCATATTTAATTGACACACATGAGAAATGGTACCAGAATTCTCACGTGTCTGAGCTTATTTCTTAGAATATCAATGAAATGTTAGAAGTATCACCCTGTCAAATTGACATGAAATGATAAGGCATAATATTTTTATTTTTAGAGGCTATCAGACAGGTTACTGAGCATCAAGGGAAAGTTTTTCAAGGGTTTTTAAATGTGATGAAGGGGCCCTTTCCTCCAGTTGTGGCATCTCTGTGTCATTATTTCTGTGGTTCCTGATTGTGTAAATATACTGTCTGCTTAACACAGAAACAGTCAAGTTTGATCCTTTAAGAGAAATTCAATCGAGGAAGCTGTGTACAGTCTGTGTGTGAACACTGATTCCTGACGTTCGTGGGGGGATGTTTCCTTGTAGGGGTTATAGAAATGTTTGACTTAATTTCTGTGTTTTATATTTTTATAATAAAGAGTTAATGAAAAACTGGCGACACAAGGCCTACAGAGATTTTGTTTGTGTTGTGTGAGCATGTGTTTGTTCTCTGGTTTGTTTAAATGAAGAAAAATATCTGCAAGGCACTTACCATCTGTGAGTGGTTGGGATAGAAGGTTTGTTCATTCAGGGGGAATTTCTCTGGACCGAGGGAGTGGTACAGCTTAATCATCTGAGAAAACTGCAAACAGAAATAAACAAAACAGTCAGATGTCAACATTTAAAAAGTGTCTGTAGCACAACATTACCAATCAGACTTGGTGGCATAATGGGTAATCTCCAATTGAACATCTTATTAGGATTCTACGGGGTGTCTTGCCCCATCAGAAGTTTGTGAAAGGATCCAATATAGAGTTACCCAACTCTGACAGTGGAGGCCTGAACTGTTTCCCAGGAAGGAAATCAAGAGTTTTAAATGATGTAACTTACTTTTTCTGGTGGACCTTCTTTGCTTTACCTGCTGTAGCTGCTTCAGATGATAGTTTGAACTTGTATCCATATCAGAACAGTAGAGTTAACCTCACAACAGCTGAATTGTAGTCTGGGCTATATTCTGCTTAAGTGGATGTTGCTGATGTCTTCTACTATATATTTTTTTCATATGTGACCTTTGGCTCAGTAAAATTAGTGTGTGGTCCAGAAGTCTACATTGATAATCTCTGAAGGGGGGTGTTTGAACATACCCCAATGACAGCTGGGCTGTCATTGGGGTATGTTCAAACAGCTGGGCTGTCATTGGGCAAAACCCTGGACTGGTGGCCAGTCAATCACAGGGCTGACGTATAGAGACAAACAAGTAGCCACACTCACATAAACACCTACAGGCAATTTAGAGTCACCAATAACCTAACGATCATGTCTTTGGACTGTGGGAAGAACCCTGAGTACCTGGAGGGAACCCACAGTACATGCAAACTCCACACAGAGAGGCCCTTTCTGACGGGGACTGGATCCAGGAACCTTCCTGCTGTGAGGCAACACCGCACTGCTGCACCAAAGTGCAGCCAACCTCCAGTCACAGAATAAGCCAAATAAATTGAAAAGACTTTTAGTTGGTAAGTTGGCTCAGAGGACAAGCTGAAGTGTCTTAACTACTTCTAAGGTGGGGGAAATAGGCCAAACAGTTATATTTGGCTAAGAAATCCCAGCATTCTGCAATTGATGATGTAAGAGAGTCCTTTTTACTCATCCATCCAACTTTGAGATGTATGGCAGTAACAGAAAGAAAACATGAAAGACAAGTTGAACAGTTTGAGTTGGGCACTTTCATTAAATTGACTCGACCATGATCAAAGAGAAGTTACTCTTTATTCTTCACAGACATGCTGAACTCTTTGGTTTGTATCTTTGTGGGGAAAGAATCTTTTACATCATGATAATGATGCAAAACTTTGAAGCTTTGCAGAAACGACTTGAAGGTCAATGTCCGTACTGTCATGGACTTTCCTCCTAAGGCGATGAACATTATCCACAGAAATAGGAATTGTTTTATGCTTGCATTTGCAAAAAAGTTCCAGTTTCAGACAATGATCTATTGATGACAACTGCTGTGAACACCCACATAAACGACTAAAACGCTGGAGTACACGGTGCACAGTGCCAGGCCAGTAGTTGTTGGTATGACTTAATATTGAAACAATAACATGCATACTAACATACTCATCCTTTGCATAGTAGTGAATTTTTTTTTTAAATCTCAGTTTTCAGAGGAACTGCATATTGCCAGTTTACATGAGGACATAAAGGGAGCTGTTTTCAAAGGCTTGCACTGTGGAACCCATTATCAAAACTTTGCATTTCAGGCACCCAAAACTCTGTCATTATCATGTAAACGTAAAGCCAAAACGCCACAAAAAGGGTTACTCTTCTCGGCTGAAATGGCTGACCTGACTTCAAGCCCAATTTATATTTATGCAAAACGCCAAACAGCTCATTACAACATGGCTAAAATATGTTGGAATAACACAAGTTATTTAAGTTGGATTCAAATTTTGGGGGTCTGCTCTGGCTCCATTGCAACCTGAGAAGACCACACCAAATACTAAAATATCTTGAAATGTAACATTGTATCTTATCACAATATATGAACGTGATAAGTTGAACTGGGTAACAATGTAATCAATGATCTCATGTAGGCTGATGATTTGCCAATTTGTTCCCTCTAGCAGCGCTAGAGCCATTCTGACTATGGAGTAACATATGACGTGCAATACAATGCTAAAAAGAGTACTGTGTTTATATGCAGTGGGAAAGGAACAGTGTTTTATCTGCTTTCTAACATGGCTCCTGAGTCAGCCAATAAAGATGATGATGTGTTAAACTGATATTATATCCAATATGGCTGCTTTTAACACCAGCTTCCACAAAAGCTACTTGATGAAAAATAAATGGATTCCTGTATGAAAGAGGGCAGCCTGGTTAGGATGTGGGCTTTCAAAGGGGGAGGGAGATCATAAAAGAGCTAACATTGTTGTAAATATGTGATAATTGAGCTCAAATATGGTGCAGTGCATTTTTCGCCACTGAGGAATTATGTGTGTGTCTCTTGTGAAACATACTTGCTCTTTAAAAGTTATAATTTAGGTCAAAAGACTACAATTATGAACCCAGCATTTACACTCTTTCACTGCATTCTTGTAAGCTGTAATCTGTCTACAGAGTAATAATGTGCAGTGGTGGAGGCCACTCGCTCCACCTTCTCCAGAGACAGGTGTTACAGCTCCCTATAATAGCCCAAATAAATCAGTCGGAGGCAGCCGCCAAGGGAGGGCCTCCCGACACCGTTCTGTGGGTTAAAGCAGAGAAAGACAGTGCATTTAAAGATTGCTTACCACCCAGGGTTTGCTGCAAAAGTTGTAGATGGAGAAGAGAGAGTTGACACTCGGGACGCCTCCGAAATGCATGCCGATCACAAGGTTCCTGAAGTCCTCGCCGGGGATCATGCTGTAGGCGTGTTGGCGAATCAGGACGAAGTCTGGCTTAAAGGACCTGCAGCAGGATGGAGAGTGGAGTTTGGGTTAGGTATCTGAAAGGTTTTGGTATTAGGTTAGCAGACTTTCACGGTCTTTGATTGGGAAATTAAAGGTAGTTTAGGGGAACTTTAAAAGGCAAGATTTGTATCAAACTTAAGTATGTTTTGTACTTTGCTTCTTAAATTCCCTTAAACCAGCCTGTATTAATGCTAATTTTGCAAATGTTTGCAAGCTAGCACGCCTTACTAAAAAGGTGCACATGGAAACTGCTAAACATGTGCGAGATAGCGTTTCCTTTTTTGGCAAGTTAGAAAGCTAATGTTGTTAGCTTAAAAAGCATCTCTATGCCAACACGGCCAGTCACCTGCCTTCAGAACTGACCAATAGCTGTGGATGGATCGGTTGTTCTTTGACTAAATTGTCATCAACAGGGCCTTTTTTTAATGTAGCAAGTTGACGTAGAAAACATTCTTGTCTTTATTGTTGTGTTTATTAATAATAATCTTGTCATACAGTATATTGTAGTGTGTGTATATAAAGTGTGTTGAACCATGAACTTCAGTGGTAGCAGCCAACAGCCATTGCTGTGAGGTTAATATCACATGAACGTGTGTCTTTTACAGGAGCATACACCATTGTTTCACATTCAGATAACTTGTGGTATAATCTACATTGGATGGTTATGACATTATGGCTAATAATCGAATTCCCTATGGAGAAAATTGATGGGATCTTTACTTCCAGAACCACACTGTTCAGCTCTACACTTTAATCAAAGTTATTGTACTTGTAAGCATACCTGTTCTGACAAAATAATACCAGCAAAATTAAAGGTTTTGCAGCCAAGCTTTTTAGTTTTGAACTTCGTGAACCCTGGCCATCCAAACATCTGAAGAGCTGACACTGACACTCTGAAGAAGGACTCTCATGACAACTGAAGGGTAAACATGACTTGTGAATTCAAATGCATTAGAAAGTTCTGAACATGATTTCCAGACAGAAAGGTGCATTGCAAGTTTAAAGCCCTCAATTTATCTTGTTTCATGTAAGCTTTTTTACCCCAGTGTCTGTTTAACGAGAATCACCTCTGTAACCTGACTGTTCTCAGGTCAGACGTCACCTCTGTCATCACATTAACACACTGCATCTGGGCTTTGTGTAAACAGTCAGGGCCCTTATTCAGCGACTGTGTCAGGCTGAAGGGGTGAAGAACTGTTTCTTGGTGCACCTAATCTTTTTGGACCATCCATCCAATTAACACAGCCTAATCCTTCCTTTACACATTGTTCTGGGAGTAGGGCCAAGCGACCCATCAGGCACCTGGAGGCCTCGTTTAAAGTTCACACGTCTCACATTAACTCAGGAAACTCAATACGACTGCAGTCATGGTTTACACATTAATGTTTTCAGTTTAGATTTAGGCATGGGGCAACTTTGCATGTTTCACATTCTTGTCATTTACTGCAGTTTTAAAATCTTTGGTGCTAGTTCGATCTTTTATCCAGTAATGTGCTCTTAATTTAAAGAAACAATATGTAGATTCCACCGCCAGGGGGGCTCTGAATCATTACTACAATAACGTAGTAAACCAATGCAGAAGTGCAAAATCCTGCAGTTTTTCAAGTGTCCGCTTGAGGCTGGCTCCAGGAGCACCGGAAGTCTTTTGATTTTGTGAACGATACGTGTTATCCAGGTGACACTTGCACAACACATATATGTCACCTGTCATGAGTGTGTGTATGTAGAGGTAAACACAAACTGGAAGTAAAGGGCGGCAGGATGCAGAGTGAAATTACAGCCAGGTCCTTAAAGAGGATCTGGGTCTTCACGTGTTGCTTATGTTAGACCGGGACTCGACTGGCTGGCCTACTGAGGACTGATCAGGTCTTGGCGACAGAGAGACTACAGCTGTTCTTCCCTGCTGCTGCTGCTGCTGCTGCACTCAGCCGCAGTGGCAGCAGACCAAACGATCTGCTATTTATACTGGATGAAGCTGTTTATTAGAGCTCCAGAACCAAACCAGACCCCAACAGTCCATGTGAGACTCAAGTTCCTGTTTTTATTATTTGTGCAAACGTGCCGTTTCCAGCAAAACACCCAAAGCTCAAAGAGAATAACATTCTGCTTCAGAAGGTGCACTTGAACTTGAAGTTTCAAGCTGCATTAGTCTCAGCATTGACTTAAAATACACCTGTCATACCAATCTAAAAGAATATGGAAGTGTTGCATCCAAGAGAATGCAGATATCGGAGTAAGTAGAACTGAACCTTATCCATTACTATGCTGATAATTTTCCTGATGAATATATTCATTATTCTATAACATGTAAGGAAATGGTTAAATACCCATCACAACATTTACAGGAATCTAAAAAACAAATATTTTGTTGTGGTTTCTCTTGTAGAACCAGCATAACATAAGATAAGCGTGGAGATGTATAGGCGTTGAGAGGATCAGGGTTGGAATGCAATCCATTACCAAACTGGAACTGGAACTCATCTAACATTGATCTTGCTTTATTTAATTGTTATTTAAAAAAATCCACATGTGTGAAGCTAATGATGCCACCCCTACATGTCGTCTCACTACCCAAACTCAAGTTGCTTCTAATCAACACAAGTTGCCTGACCAACTGTAAAACAACAGCACATTGTAAAGGAAGTCTTAGCAGGGTGCCCTTTGTCGCTAACCATTAGCAACACTGGAAGACCCAAAAAGGTTGGCCTTCACTCCAAGAGGAAATATCGTCATCAGACAAAAAGAAATGAGTTCAAAAATTGCCTGAGCCTTACAATAAAAACATCCACACATAAGACATCAAGCTATCTGTTACTCCATGAAATGCAGAGGGGCTGTGACAAAGTGTTGTTAGCATTGCATGAGAATACTTCGGTTTACTCTGAAAAGATTTGTCAAACACTTGGAAGTATATTTTGGAAGAGCAGTAAGCAAGAAAATATATTTTTAATTTTCTCTTTCAAGGGATAATTGAACAACTTCAAAAGGGATTCTAACAACAGTTGTAAATGTAATGGTGACATATTAAATATGACTGATAAAAAACAGCTTCAACAAGCTGTACTGTTGAACATCAAACTGTTTACTCAATGCAGTGTTAAATAAATGCATAAAACCAGATATAGAACACCTTTCTTCTACCTCATTAGCACAGACAGTCCAGATGCAGAAAAGCCTGAGCCCACTGGGATGGCTTTCACTGGGCTGCGGTTAATGGAGCGTGTGCCCTATAGCAGCAGAGCATTACTGGGGTTTGCCACCCATTAACTTTGTTTTTCTTCCCAAGCAGGGCTCCCTGGGGGACGTGGAGAACACTGAAGCAGCACATCTATGCTTTACGATCCCAATCGCTCGGGCCCTACAGTCATCACTTCTCGGGCGATATGCTAATGCGCCCTTTGAATGGGGTTATCAGCGGCGCAATAAAGGCTGATAACAGGCACTGATGGGGGTAAAGCAGGGTTATAGATCAGGACATGAGGAGGGAATGGATCCATGTGGATTCATGAGCAACACTTGAATCGTAAATTGAGCATGACATGCTGGAAAAAATATCCACGTAAACAAGTCATTCTTAGAGTCAAGTTAAATCAAGCCGTGAAAAGGGGAAACAACAGTAAAGCTCCTGTGAGGAGTTTTTAGCTGGTGATGAAACAGACCTGAAATTAATACTGATGCCTCTATGACCTACAAAAGCAAACAAGACCATCAGGAAGCAGACTGATTATGATTATAAAGTTATTTTCAGTGGTCTTTAGCATTTCCAAGGGGTCCATGTCAGATTAGGCAATTAACAGTTGGGACAAGTTTTGCAAAGAGATGAGACATACTTTTCTAAGTTTTAATCTTGTACTGCATAACTGTTTGTATTGTATGTGTGAGTCAAGGGGTGTCTATGTGTAAAGCATGTTTTAAAAAAAATCAATACAGAGGCATTTGTTAGGTTTAAGGCTTCTTGAAAAGAACTTTGATAAACGACTTAATGCTTCCCTTTAGCATCAAAACGAGGTGGAAAATAGGAGTGGGACAAAATACCAATACGTCAATATATTAGAGCCCGATCGACGTGGTATTTTTGGGTCAGACAACGATATCAATATTAGGGAGAGAAAAAATGTACATACAGATATATTGGCAATGAATCCATATGGCAGACTCTTTCACCAGAACTGCTAGTGTAGTACAATGAAATGCTTTTTGACTGGTGAATAAATGTAGTAATATCGGCTTATATCTGCAACAAAGTAGCCGATACCAGTACTCACTTGATATGCTCGATATTATCGACCGGCCGATTAATCGGTCGGCTCTACAATATATATGGTCCTCCTGACTTGTGTGATACAATTATCCAAATTCTAGTGTGAAATATATATATTTAATTTTTTTTTTAAACGGTGCTCTTAACAGATTTCCATGCCAATCTGACAAAAAAAAGTTACTTGACCAACAAAGAAGTTGACCTTCGGATAAAAGAAGACGACAGCAGGTTAAAGGTGGGAGGAGGGGAAACATGGAGTTAAGAGATGAGAGTGTGATAAGAGGTGAAACTTACACAAGATTGCAGTGATACGTTAATCCTGCACTTTGCCTTTTTTAAGAGGCATTTTGTATTCATCAGTTTATCAGATATGGTGATGTACCATTTTATGATTGTCTTGCAATTCATTATCTCATAACTGCATTGTGATATCATCATGAGCAACATATCGCTTATTATATCGCATCAAATAGTACCTGTATCCTACCATATCTCAGCAAATTGTAATGAATAGTATCATATCCTGACATACCCTGACATTTTCACCCCTCTCAAACAACGTTAGCGACAAGGACGTGACAACAAAAGAGAATTTAGTACCAGAAGTTTGAATCTTTCTGTTAACCAATTGGACTCATGTGTTGGACTGGTGACATGAAACAGTTCTCTCTAGATTTGAAAGGCAGTTGAGCCAACAGTTTCAGCAAGGAACTGTCAAAAGGCAATTACCTCCATGG